TTGTTCAAAGGGATGTCTGTCAAGCTCCATTGTCGAGCTGGGCTGGAGCCGAAGATCGCTTCTTGGAAAGGTGGACCGGTCGGCTCCAGGAGAACGAGGCTTTTAGTAAGGCTCGGACGGATGTCAGCAATCAACAGAGGCATAAGCCCTCCTTGACTGTGGCTCAGCAACCAAACAGGACTGCCAATCATATCTAGGAGCCGAGATCCCGCCAACTGTACTGTTTCTTGCTGATACGTGGCGTTGGAGATGAATTGCACGTCGGAGGCGTAGAGTTTATCGAATATCGAATCTCCCATGACGCCTGTGCCGAGTCACTGCGTATGAAGGTGGGCTTGAGGCCATAATCTATACTTCTCCAGTGCAGTGAAACGTCGATGAATGATTTCCGCCGATTAACTACCGGTAAGTGGAGGGTGTCTGTGCGCCAATACGGGGGGCCGATGCTGACCGTCCGCGAAAGGTCTGATCGACAATGTAGATGGTATGGCCAGCATCAAGAAAATGTGAAGTCCAAGACTCTCCCCCATCTAGCTTGTTCAAGAAGTTTGTTCCGGTCTGACCCTGGCCGTGAATAAGAACAATAAGACTTGGTCTGTAACGGTGTGGAGTCACAGGTGACAGCTTTTCCACGTACATCTGATCCTTGAAGATGTAACCAGTATTACCATCTTCGCTGTAACCACCGCCGACGTTGAAGAATGTCCGAATTGTTGCTGTCTCCGCGACAGCATGATGGGATTGTCGTGCGAATGCTAGGGTTGCAAAGAGACCTGAAAGACTGAGTAACATCGTAGAGAAAGAAGGAGAGCTATAGGTGAGAGATCAGGAGTCACTGACGTAGTATTTTGCAGCTGCATGGTTTCTTAAGCCGGCGCTCGGACCTTGGTATGGTATGGTATAGATCCTTAAGGTACCGGATCGGGAGCAGTTCCGACCGAGCCGTGCACTTGCGGGCCAGTGTCTTACCACCACTACTCATTATCCTTGTCACAATGATGAATCGAAAGTGGTCACTGCTCCTGGAGTCATGCCAACGTCTAGTAAGTGACCTGGGCAGTGCTCATTATCACACAAATGGTAACTACTCCGCGAGATTTTGCTGGACCGTCTTTCTTAATCCTACAAACGTCCTGTTCCACGACAAAAGGGAATGTTGAGACGGGCTTAAAGTCAAGGGGCTTAATTCAGGCTCCACGTCACAGCTCCCAAAGCATGCAGATCTCCTGGGCCTCAGAGCCATCGTAGGCCCTTCAAACACACTCCACACAGGCGGTCGCTTGTCTTCCTTTAGCGAAGACCTGATGCAGTGATGCTTTCTAGACATCGCCTACAGTGGTTCAAAGAGAACATACAGGACACATGACCACGGAAGTAAACAAAAGTCTGGGCTCGCGAGAGTGAAGTGGAACCCTAACAGCGCAGGAAATGCCTCATGTGCAACAGGACAGTTGAGGTTGAGGAGGAAGGGTTTTGCAAGATCGCCAAGAAAGATGGCGCTATTGATATTGATGCACCTGTCAAAGCCAAGCTGAATCAGCTGCCATCGTTTATAGACCTTCTTCCTCAGCTACATCCCAAGTTTGAGCATTGCATGCCCACAGAAGATCTACGGCTAAGCACTCTGTCCTTGCTACGCCACGTCTAATTCCTCATAATGACCGTCAATGGTTTCATCGACATGACTGTGCCATTTCATCTTCAATGGGAATGCATAAGGGAAATAGTGTATTTAGTATAAAACCAATTAACAACAAGATATTGCTTCAAATCTTGCCAAGTCCAAAAAATGACTCGCACTCCAGCATTCCGCCAGAGACTTTTGCCAAACTATAGTGTTTGCAGCTGCAACCCCAAAATTAGCACTAAAATGCGATGGTCTGCATATTCAACAGAAAAATACTGCTTTTGCTTTAGCGTCATCTTGTGGTCTCTTGTCTAACCATTCAATCACCAATAGATTGGCATTGCCCTGCCTGAACTACTTGTGTCACAGAGTATACTGTAACGGTTGAGAGGAGAAGCATATCACGTGTTGTTGGCGGTGGTCTGGTGCTACTCCCTCATGTTGTTGAGCACCTCTTACCTCAGCTACATCACAAACACATCATCAAAACAGACCCCGCAGCGAGCCTTGGAGAGCAAAGATACAAGCAACACAACAACAACAGAAGAACACAATACACTCGTTATATACATTTGCCCTTGATACCGCAACATATACTGTCTGATTGTAACTTCACACAGATCACTAAACTACAGGTGTAGTAGAGAGTCTTTTCACAAAATTCAAGCGTGACTAAAGCGACGCATATTTGGTAAGGACAGCAAATGTTGGCAGTGTTAGCGACAGAAAGATACTCCTGCGTTGCAATGAAGCACGCATAATCTTTGCTACAAAGTTTCACAGAGGTGGACTACCACCCTATGCATATCACGTTTATTTCTAGATCAGTTCTCCAGATACCAGATATACAGTCCTATATGACATGGCACCCATTCTGCAGGCTACTTGAGCTAAAGAGCGTGATTCAGATCTACAGTTTGGCGAATTAGCGAGATTAAGCCCTTGGTTTAGCTATCGATCGAGTGACCTTCGAGTAGCAAGGTTGTCGGACTTTCTGGTTGACATCTCCATAATGTCGGTCAGAGCCCCTTTTCAGGACCTCAAGTCGGGGTGACTTCTACAATTCATATGGATTCTACAGGCCCACGTCTTTCGGCGCACTGTCGCTGGCTTTTAGCAATATTTTCCGCTCACATCTTCTTACAGACATCGAGTTCTGCGGAGGCGTATATGTAAATGTGAAGGTCTACAACAGGGCGGTATTCTCACAGAAGAATGGAAATGTAACCGAGACGCGCGCGGCCCTTACAAGCTTGAGCTCACATGTGGCTTGGATCTTCATAAACCGAAAACCCTGGAGGGAGAAGAGAGGAAAGGGCCATAGGAAGTAAGAAGAAGAGTCGTCGTCGAAGGTATTAGCCTGAAATCTCCAATGGACGATGCTATACATACTTTAGTGTCGCATCAGACGTAGCAGCTGTATGTATCGATGGAAAACTGCGCTAAGTTGCTTGCTAGCTAGGAGACGACCATGTATACATGCTCTGAGACGTGCTAGTCCAAGGTAGTCAGCAGAGGTGACGATCAAGGACTATAGGACCGACTTGCAGAACAACATTTATTAACCGAGCATTTTCTCAAAACCATCTTGCTATCATAACATAATTGCTTGCTTTGGATGTCATCGATTTCTCATGGGGTCCCACGAGTATCTCTCCGCGGAGGTTTTGCTTGAATTGTAACACGCTTGAGTCGGGACTGCCGCCTGCTGCATCATCACACCCTTGCTTCGCCAATTCCTGGGCAACGGAACAGGTCTCGCCCTGGTGTCCGGGTCAAAGACAACTGCATTCCTTCCAAAGGGCCACGTGCGGGGCGTCTCCTCGGTTATCGATTCGCGAGCTTATTCGATGTGTGACCGTCTAGAGACTTCTTGCAAGTGTGCAACCGGTGCAAGGCGGAGGAATGTAGACTAGTGACAAGGATCACGAGGCATGACGTTGTCTGTTCGCAGCGTTGCAGCGGCTGAAAGGCCGTTTGAACGGCCGGTTCGGATGAGGGCTCCTAGCGCACATGATGGGCGAGCACTTTGAACGGCCTTGTAACCTTTTAACTCTTCGCCCAGTTTGCCCTGGTCATTGCATTATTGAGGCTGCGCGCGGCCTGAGGCTTGATGGTCAAGCACCAGAGGTCTACACAGCATCAACGCCCAATGCATTAGAATGTCGTGATTATCTGCGACTGAGTGATTTGGACGTATTGGAAGTCCACAATGTTTTTCTGGGGTACGAATATCTGCAGCAGTGACATCGGCGGCGCCGCCAAAGACATCGCCTAGCGAGATTTCTGCGGGGTTTCGCTTCTCCGCCATGCTGCCGACACGCCAAGCTGCACACGACGACCCACAAACATCATGATCAACACCTTTCCGGATGAATCGCCAAGGGATGACTGCGCTTGTTTGTGCATGTCCCCAGCACGATGCCCACATGCGCGTCACACTTGTCTGTGCGCACATCCGGCAGCTATGGCAGGTTTCTGTGACGCTTGTCCTACGACCGAGTGCATACATCGATGTACAAGTACATAATGGAGTCGGTCGTGCACTCGTATGCCCAGCTTGCCTACTCCAGGCTCCCCTCGCTCTGATCTTTCTATTGGAAAGAATTCACCATGCGTTCCTTCGCTCTTCTGGCCGGAGCGCATTTGGCGACAGCCTTGTACCAGAATGGCTCTGTCATTGCACCGTGTGACTCGCCTATCTACTGTTATGGCGATTTACTTCGTGAGATCGAGCTTGCGCGTCCCTTCTCGGACTCGAAGACGTTTGTTGATCTGTATGTACCATTTGTCCACCACAGCACACATGTTGCTGATACTACCCAGGCCCACAATCCGTCCATTGGATGAAGTCCTGGAGGCATTCAACAATCTCACGAAGCCAGTGCAAAACAACACCGAGCTCACCGATTTCTTGACTACCTACTTTGGCGAGGCTGGTTCAGAGCTGGAGCCCGTACCTGCAGATCAACTTGAGACCCAGCCGGACTTTCTGGAGAACGTAAATAGCTCAGTCATTGTAGACTTTACTCGCCAAGTGATAGATATCTGGCCGGATCTCACACGTCGATATGTTGGTGCAGGAAACTGCACGGGATGTGTCAACTCGTTCATTCCCGTCAACCGCACCTTTGTGGTTGCTGGCGGTCGCTTCCGCGAGCCTTACTACTGGGATTCATTCTGGATCGTCGAAGGCCTGCTGCGCACCAAGGGATCCTTCACCCAGATCGCTGAGAACATTATCGAGAACTTTATGGATCTTGTCGAGGAGATCGGTTTCGTTCCCAACGGTGCCCGGAGGTACTACGAAAACCGCTCGCAGCCACCTCTTTTGACCCAAATGGTCCGTGTCTACGTTGAGTACACACAAAATTACACCTTGCTCACGCGAGCCCTGCCCGTTTTGGAGCTCGAGTACGAATTTTGGGTCAATAATCGCTCTGTCACTCTCGAGCGCAGCGGCAGGAAGTATACCCTGCACCACTACAATGTCTCGAACACCCAGCCCCGCCCGGAGTCGTACCGTGAGGACTATATTACAGCAAACAACCTGACTTACTTCAATGAAGAGGGCGAGCAGTTCAACGCCAGCCAGCCGCTCAACGAGACCCAGAAGGCAGTACTTTACGCTGATCTCGCCTCCGGAGCTGAGTCTGGATGGGACTACACATCACGCTGGTTAAAGAATCCGTCTGATGCTGTCAATGATAACTTCTTCCCACTTCGCTCGCTCAATGTTATCAACACCATTCCCGTTGAGCTGAACTCGATCCTGTACTACAACGAAATGACCATTGCCGAATTTCATCGTCGCGAGGGCAATTACAGTGCTGCACGCCAGTGGGCTGAACTTGCCAGGAATCGCAGCGAAGCAATGACCGCCATCCTATGGAATGCAGAACACTACAGCTACTTCGACTACAATCTGACTTCCAGCGCACAGAACATCTACACCCTCGCAGACAACACCAGCACACCGCTCTCGCTTGCCGGTGCACCTGCAGGCTATCAAGTCGGCTTCCAGCTCAGCCAGTTGTACCCATTCTGGACCGGTGCGGCACCCGAGAGCATCAAGGGCAACCCCACAGCGATTCGTCACGCATTCGCCCGCGTTGAAGAGGCGCTTGACACAGAAGCTGGCGCACTTTCGGCTACCAACCTCTTCACCGGTCAGCAGTGGGACGAGCCGAACGTGTGGCCCCCGCTGCAATACATCGTCATGCAGGGTCTTCTCAACACACCACTCGAGGTCAGCGAAGATGATAAGGAGCAGGCCGCCGAAGACTACATCTGGACGCAGGACCTTGCCCTCCGCCTTGCGCAGCGCTACACGGACTCCCTTTACTGCACATGGCGCTCCACCGGCGGTGCCACCGAGGAAGTTCCTCAACTCCCCGGCGCCGAAGGCAATGGTACCATTTTTGAGAAGTACTCAGATGAAGCTATCAACGCGCGTGGAGGCGGTGGCGAGTACGCGGTGGTGGAAGGCTTCGGCTGGAGTAATGGTGTTCTGATCTGGGCTGTGGACAACTTTGGTCAGAAGTTGACGACGCCTGATTGTGGTAACATTACAGCTGCTGCGCCCCCTACAACGTCGACGAAGAGGAAGAGGAGTGCGGTGGAGATCCATAAGAGGGATGCGGCGTGGATCAAGGGCACTAAGGAAAACATGATGTTCCCCAAGCACTGAGCCAGAGAGCCTTTGACCAACAACGACAGTCTCCTGGGTGTAGGTAAAAGCTTAATGTTTTGTCCGTAATGCAATGCTGAAAGCTCAGCCAATCAATGTTCGTCCCTCTTTGCTCTGTGAGTCGGCTGTGAACTGAGGCTTGGCGCCCACGGGTGCATTTCATCTCGGCTTCATAACTCTGCCCACAACCCTCATCGTCAAAAACAATCTCGACGCAGCGAAGCGCTCATAACTTGTTCTGGGAAGATGCAAATATTCATTGCCCCTTCTTCTGCTGTGCGGACACAGCAGTCGCGGCCACTGCATCGAGAAAGGGTACCTACAGCCAGCGCACGTTGACAAGCCGGCTACAAATGCAGTCCAAGTGGCAACGGCTATATGAAAGCGGTGACGCGCCACATGGGAATGTTCGAGTCGCGTCGAATGCGCGTTTGAGAAGCCCCGGAGCGCATCCCCACTGGTTCACAACGCCTCAGCTTCCCCGCGCTGATCTAGATTGTTATAACTTATACCTATTCGGGCAATCCGAACCAACTCCTGCAAGGCTTTTGGTAAAGGACTACAACTAGGCACTGACGTCGTTGCTTGTGATGGGTACTTGTATACCTTGACCGGTTGTGCGCCTGGAGTTGTTTACTTGATTTCTGACTTGATCCTGTTGTCGCATGCACGCCCTTACACCATATCGATTGTAGACTTACCTGTGGAAAGATTACATGATGCCTGGTATCAATGGTGCAGCGAATGGGTCAACGGCATATGGAGAGGTCGCTGCCGACAAGATCATCAAGGACGAGCACAAGCCCTCGGCACCATCACAAACAAACGAAGAGGACATGCAGCTTGTATTGCAAAACTTTAGACTGCTCATCGCAGATCTTTGCCAACAGTTCGGCATGGGTAAGTATACCGGTCTAAGTCTTTTGAACACTGAAGTTTGACACTTACCAGGACACCCCGGAGGAGCCATCGGCATGGCTGCGATCGGTGTGGCACTCTGGAAGTATGCTATGCGGTATGCATCACATCAACCAAACTGGTTCAACCGAGATCGCTTCGTCCTTTCGAACGGACATACATGTCTTTTCCAGTACACTAATCTTTACCTCTCTGGATACAAGGCAATGACTTGGGAGCAACTTCTGTCATATCATTCGGAGCGGCCAGACAGTCTTTGCCCCGGACACCCGGAGATTGAACACGAGGGCATCGAGCTGACCACCGGTCCCCTTGGCCAGGGTATAGCGAACGCAGTCGGGTTGGCCATTGCGACGAAGCATCTTGCTGCTACGTTTAACCGTCCTGGCTACGATGTGGTCGACAATCACACGTGGGTCACGGTCGGTGACGCTTGTATGCAGGAGGGCGTTGGATGTGAAGCCTTCAGCTATGCTGGTCATCTGAAGCTCGGGAATCTGACATGCATCTACGACAACAACCAGATCAGCTGCGACGGCAGTGTAGATCTCACAAACACTGAAGACGTGAACAAAAAGATGGAAGCTTGCGGCTGGGAGATTATCGATATCGAGGACGGCAATAATGACGTTGCGGCGATTGTTGCAGCTTTGGAGAGGGGGCACGAGAAGGGCAGGCAGAAGCCTCTATTCATCAACGTTCGAACAATCATTGGTATGGGCAGTGCTGTAGCAGGCAAAGCCGTCTCTCACGGCGCACCGCTCGGCGCCGACAATGTCGCTGCAATGAAGAAGGCCTGGGGATGGGACACAGAGAAGACCTTCCACATTCCGGACAAGGTCAAGAAGTTCTACGCCGATATCCCTCATCGCGGCGATCAGCACGTGAAGAAGTGGAACGAACTCGTCGCAGCGTACAGCAAAGAGCACCCCGAGCTCGCCCAGACGTTCAAGGCCCGCATGGCCGGCAAGCTGCCCGACAATTGGCAATCAATGATTCCGTCTTCCTTCCCCAGCGACGCCACACCCACTCGCAAGTCCAACAACCTCGTCATGGCCAAGATGCTCGCCGAAATCCCAACCTTTATGGTCGGCACCGCAGACTTGACGCCGTCGGTGAACCTCACTCACAGTGGCTACGAAATCTTCAACCCACCTGATCTCAAGCCGGAATCCGGCGCTCAAGGCTCTTACAAAGGCCGCTACATACACTACGGCATCCGTGAGCATGCCATGGCAGCAATTGCAAATGGCATAGCGGCCTACGCACCACGCACAATCATTCCCATCACCAGCTCTTTCTTCATGTTCTACCTTTACGCTGCGCCGGCGGTGCGCATGGGTGCCTTGCAGCGCTTGAAGGTCATCCATGTTGCAACGCACGATTCGATCGGCGCTGGTGAGGACGGACCTACGCATCAGCCGGTGGAGTTGGCAGCGCTGTACAGGGCGATGCCGCACATGCAATACATCAGGCCCGGCGACAGCGAAGAGGTAGCCGGAGCGTGGAAGACGATGATTGAGAACGAGGATGGGCCGAGCATGATCAGCGTCAGTCGGCACGCACTGCCGCAGCTCACCGGCTTGACGAATCGAGAGGGTGTTGAAAAGGGCGCATATGTGCTGCGCGAAGACAAGGGTGCGGCTGTTACGCTCATCGGCGTCGGCGCAGAGCTGAGTTTCGCAGTGCAGGTCGCGGATGCACTCGCCAAGACCGGCACCAAAGCACGCGTCGTCTCGTTCCCATCTCACACGCTGTTCCGCGCACAGCCGCTATCGTATCAGCGTCACGTGCTGAGGAGAAATGAAAACATGGCCGCTGTTGTTATCGAGCCGTATGTTGCCCTGGGCTGGGAACGGTATGCGGATGCGGGTATCAACATGAGCTCTTTCGGCCACTCGCTGCCGGGCAAGTTCATCTACAAGCACTTTGGGTTCGACCACGATAGCATGGTGAATAAGGTGCAGGGCTTCCTGCAGGGCTGGAGGAACGGCGATGTTGGAAGAGGAGAGTATGTGGAGCTGTAGCGCGTAGCCTGTGAGCCTGGTTCGACTGTGTAAAATGTCGTATATGGTAGTTACTGTGATGTACGATTGTCATGCCGTCCTCGTTGTACGCTCAAGTCACTGCTCACACCATGTTGAGTCTTGATCATCCATGCAGTCAACATCAGCATCAGCATTAACATCAGCATCAACATCAGCATCAACATCAGCATCAACATCAGCATCAACATCAACATCAACATCAGCATCAACACCAACATCAGCATCAACACCAACATCAGCATCAACA